CCTGCGCTAACGCTTGGTGGTGATCTGCTAGAAGTCGTTCAGGAATTCAAGTACCTGGTCAGCTATATTAGCACCCGTGGGATTGAAGATGAGGTTACGAACCGTATAGCAAAAGCTCGAGGTGCTTTTGCCAATTTCCGCCACCTGTGGCGCAGACGCGACATTACTCTTGCTCTGAAAGGCAGAGTTTATAACGCAGTCGTCCATTCAACTCTCCTGTATGGTTGTGAAAGCTGACCCATCATGTCGAAAGACAAAGAGGCTCGTCATATTCGACCATCGCTACCTTCGCAGCTTAACTGGTGTCTGGTGGGTGCACCGCGTGAGCAATGAGCGGGTTCGGCGTTGCGTATTTGGTGCAGGAAGAGCGAGTGAACCGTTCAGCACCACTATATCACACACCAGGCTCCGATGGCTGGGCCACCTGTTGGGCATGTCAGCACAACGACTTCCGCGAGGTGTACTGTTTGCGCGTTGTAGGTGAGGTTGGAAGAGGAGGAGGGGAGGCCAAGTGATGACTTGGTCGAGAGAAATGAAAACCCTCAATTCGAAGTTGGCGTCGGTTGGTGCATCTCGACTGCCTGGCTGGGGTCCTAAGGACGGTGAACACGTTTGGTTGGACACACTTGCTGATATGGCTGGAGCCGGCCCCAATGACGTTTGTGTTGTGAGTTCCTTTGTCCATCCCCCTCCTGCTTGGCATCCCTCTCCAATCATGATCTCACTCGTTAGGCGTAATATAACTTTGTGCGGCACAATTGCCGGTTGTTAGATCTCCGGAACGATGTTCATCCGTTACTGGGGACTCAGCCGGCGTGCCACTGTGTTTTCCTTTTCTCGTATTTTGTATTGCGGCACAATAGCTGAGGTGTTTTCCACCTGTAGCTAACGTGTAAACTCATGATGATGATGGTAAAAAAGGAAATCATAGATCATGTCAAAAAAGCAAATATGTTTGCTAAATTTGTGATAGCACTCTGCATAAGTAACAAAAATCAGATTAATGAAAATGTAATGACGGTAGAGGAGTCGTTTCTGAGCTTCATTCAGAACTGCAGCAAAAGAGCAGAGGAAATTTCTGGGCTTTCTTTGAGAGAATTGGAGAAGTATGGATTTCAGATTGACGACTGTCATATCCAGACATTTGACGATGGTATTGTTATGGCTCACCAGCTACTGGGTGTCCAGAGACATATCTGTACAATCAGCCCAAAGTCTACCTTTGTGTCTTACATATACTAGTCTATGTGTTCATTCAGATTTTGTGACGGTTCATTCTGTAATATTTTTGGTACGGTGGACTATTAAGTAGAATTCTTTTTTCATCTAAATATTACTTGCATGCCTTGTCACCTGCATAAGTATCAGGTGACTGTAAAATCTAAATGAACTAGTCCAGCGGGTGCTGTAACTATTGTGGTGAAGAAACACTCGGAACTCGTCACTTCTGTGAAACATATCACAGAATAAGGAGAAAAGGCAACCACAAGATCAGCTGCATGTTTTATTCTGATCACGGCATTGTTGTTCCTCTTTTATTTTGTTTCTTAGCATTAAGGTATCAGTCCTCATAAAATTCAAGGATGCATAGTTATGTCTGAACCAATTGCCTGGATCTGCAGCGAAGTTCTGTCAGGCTTACAAAGTTAAATACAGGAATGTCAGTCATATCATGGCATTAACCCTCTCAGCAGATATCTCTCTCTCACGGATGTGGCCACCTGTCAACCCAGAGTTCAGTCGCAAATTGCGCAGGCCACTTTTGTCGCTTTACTCACAAGCACGCCATAACATTTTGCACCCCAGCCCACGATCATTGCAGTCGTACACCGGTGACTGTCTTGATATCCGGACACACCGAACCTGCCGGAGCGTTGGCAGGTCGTCATAACAGTGTCATCCCAGAACCTTCGTCGTCTGATGTTCTTTTTTGGAATTATAAAGGGGATTACATGTATAAAATTGTGTTCTCGACTTTCCCGCTTCGTGACGAAGAGGCAAATTATGGCGAGCGATTAGTTGCAACTAAATGGATGTATAACAGTTATCATGCAAATGTCGCTACTAAATCATCAAGTTACACTCCATTTCATTGGTACGTTAAATACTTTATTACGACATGTGAAGCGTTATCTATTTGACCCGTTATATGCCATTTGTAATTGTGGACTACGTGTTCACAGGCTGTTAGATAGGGAACTGAGTGTTATCGACCTCGCGGAATCATGGGATTTGCAGGTACAACTACCGCAGGTAGAAATTCAAGTGTTGTTCGCCGACATGCTGTGTCCGCCAAGTGCGTCTGCTGGAGAACAGCTGGTGAAATATCCAGACAAACCTGCCAGGCAATCATGCAGTGATTCCAATGTGCGAACATACTGCACAAATGGGTACGGCATACGAATTCAGTTGATGTGTGTCAATAGCCCTTACTTTGGGTCCGCGCCAATCCGCTCATACATGTGTGTGTACAGATCAGCCGATGCAAACTGCCGACAGCTTGGTCGCAGTATCTCATTGATTCAGGGACCAGCAAGTCGGTGTACTGCATCCACTATGACGGTAAGCGACGCCTGCTGTCACAAAGCAGGGTCTACTCGTCTTGTAACAAAAGTGCCACAGTCGTATTTCGGCACTAGTCCCCTCAGCATACCGCCGCTCTCAAGCACCTCACACCGCTCCTGGTCATTCGCAACCATACACCTCTGACTGCCTCACTATCCGGACACAGTACTGTCGTATGCCATAGCGTTGGTAGGTCGTCCAAAACCTTCGGTTGCGCCAGTGCAAAACTGACCATAAGCTCGTTAATGGGGTGTCGCATTACAGTGTTCGCGGCCCCCTCCCCCACTGGTACCGTACGCAAGTCATGACTTTACGTACATGGTAGTCCACTTATACCTAGTCGCATCAGATATTTGGACACCCTTTGTGATGGCGGCTTAAGCAGGGACGAGTGCACTCGCTTGCCGCAGTGTGGTCGAGCAGGCGATGGATCGAGTGGGCAGGTGAGTTTGTAAACACCCAGTTAGTTATACTTTGTTTCAGAATTGAGAATACAGCGCTTGTGTTCATAGCCAGTGTGTTTGCTTTCTTTTGACGCGGCTGGCAGAACCAGGCATGCAACATGATGACAGAGGAAAAGAAGAACCCGATGAGCGATCAGCAGCTTTGTTGCTTTGGCTGGCAGCCATTTGTAGCGATGCCTACTCCATTAGAGAGGACGGAGCGTTCGCTGCCCGAAAACTGGCGCCTGTGAAGAGCGGAGTGGATGAACTTCGCGACACTGATGGAGTTGGATGAATATCCTATGCCGCATCAGTTAGGCATGTTCAGTTACGCCATCGGCCATGATGAGGTACGGATACTAGAAGCGTGGAATCTCTGCGATCACGACCGAAAACCGGATCTTCCAGAAACGCCCCAGCGAATTGGTGATTATTGTGAAGGCCGGTTAGGCGAGTTCGCTCGTTGCCGTCCATCGACCAACGTTAGCTCACTTGATAGCCTAAATTCGCAAGAAGTGCACGAAATTGCAGCAAATAACAAAGGGGATCACGTCGGGGAGGGATGCATTGATGCAAAACTGCCGAATCAAGAACAAAGAATTCAACCGGAAGCCGATTCTGTAGTCACCAAACATTTGGAACCGAAAAGCTTTCGACTAATCGTCTGCGATACACTCTTCGAAAGCGCTCACGACGGTGGAAGACGGGCCACAAAAATGAGCCAAGGCAGCGTCATAATCTAGTGCCTAGAGTCGGAGTATGTGAAAAACAGATACGTAAAGCTGAACGGCGTCGGAAGAGAAGAGCACCATTGTGCTCCTAAGCTGAGTGGAACTAGCTTCAGATTAGGTACTGTTGCTGAATGCAGGCTAGACCGCTCACGCGTCAACATCACACACCACCAACTCGTACATTCATGCGTTATTAAGTCTACCGTCATTGGCTGCTTCGGGCTAGCTCAATACCAAGATCATCGCGAGCGCTTGGCGCGTAGAAATGATAACGGATGTAATTCCATTGCACTAATAATTATGTTCACTCGGTTTAAACATACTAATCAGGGCCTTAGGGAGCAATTCAATTGCATTATGGATGCAATCAATCGTGTAGACGGTACTTTGGTCTAGGCAAGCGAGTGGAATCGCAATCAACATAGCGATAGTTGGTGTCTTAAAGGTGCAATTGCTCCCACGGAACAGTGACTCAACTGGGAGGAAAGGTAAGACAAACCATGAAATACATCGCGTCTAAGTAGGCTGAAGGCTGTCAGAAAGCAGTATGTAAGCTCCGTAATGACTGCAGATTGTAGTTCCAAAGCTGCGCACTCGATTTCGGGATGGCAATCGGCAATTCCGAATAACCGCATAAATAACCACTGTAGAAAGCACGAACAGACGGGTAAATAAACAAGTTGTGTGTCTGTTGACGATGTAAGAAGTTGTTTCCTATAAGAGACAGATCTAAAAAGATGTTCCAATAATCTCATGTAATCGCATAATGACCGGAACGGAATATGCGCACAAATTTCGTGTTTGTGTGAGTAACGTAAAGTGTTCCGAATTCTGTGCTACTTTTTCGGTCTGTTGATGTACTAGTGTCCTTCACAAACATATGACAGATGTTCGCATAGCGAAAAAATGAAACGAAAGGAACTGTGGGTCAAAGTGTGGCATGCTTGGAAACATTTGTCTAATCGTGCTTTTTGTCAGGTGCCATCGAAAGCATTTACGAAATCGTTATCCAGGGATCCCAGTCCCGCAAACATATTAATTGCGTGTCGAGCGGTTAAATGCCTATTAATTGTAAGCCCGAAGTTATGCAGGGCGCAGCATGTTCAAATATCTCTTGAAAGTTTGTTCCATATTTTAGGGTAGTGGGTTGGAAAATACACCGATTTCATGGAGAACTTTGGAATCGTAACCTTTGATTCCTTGTAATAGGGAGTAAGGAAGAACAATGAGTAACTATTTTGGTATTATCCAAACAACCTACCGCAATTTGTGCAAAACCATCCGATGTCGGAAAACAATTGCAACGCCCAAAATAAACGTCACCAGCAGCAACAGTGACATAAAAAGGCTGGCGACCATGCCATGCGCAACGGGTGGGATATCTAGAAATGAAGGAGAAGTTTTATCGTATGGAGCCTGTGGGTAGACTTCGGAGAATATTTTACTCCGTACTTATAAAAACAGTGGTAGGCTAGTTAGAAACCGAAGGCGATCATGCACATCAAAGAACCCAACCAGAAAGATCAAGAGCGAAGGAGAGCCGTGTGGAGTTAGATAGGTTTATGCAGCAGGGTATTTAAAGATGGAATTTCAACCTGGCGCTAAGAGTAATAAAGCCAGTCAGGCTCTTCATAATAAGCTATGGTTTTAAAGCCAAAAAGTTAACCCACCAAAGGCTCATGAAAGAAAACATTGTGGAACTTCCTTGCACGATTGGTTTCACGTCAGTAACGATCTGAACACCAAAGTAGGGTGGATCAAAACTACCGTAACCCGTGTCATCACAATAGTTGTGAAAAGCAATAACAGTTGAGGGGAAAGATGACATGATACATTGCACCCCAGGTAACCACCACTGAGTCAGCAGAGAAAGGACACAAAGTTGGCAAATTACCCACCATAATCACGAACGCAATAATGTGGGGCATTTACGCAGCTACATATGCGGAACCAGTTCGAGCGTCTGAGCCCTGCATGTAGTACGTGTTTATAAAAAAATAAGGAGAGAAGCACGAGAACGTAAGAGTAAAAAAAGAAACGAAGGGAGTAAGGGAAAATGCATTATTGCATAACGAGAGGAGTAAGTACTAGAGGAATGGCGCGGAGTGCATGGGCTCTGTTGTCTTTGTAACCGCTACCAGCTGGGTAGAAAGTCTGAAGATGGAAATCGCCATCGTTCATGCCGCTTTGAAGAACTCAGAGATTCCACTTGTTAGAATAGTGACCTAGGAATCATTTGTTGCACGCGCTGCTCGGAATACGTTAGTGTCTTGGAAGTTGAAGCTCATCACTCGGCGGTTTACACATAATTCACAAGCAGAGAACCGAGAACGCGAATCACACAGAGAGTCACAGCTCCCCTAAGATGTTTAGATGACAGTTTATTAGGAAAATCCAGGCAATTAGTGAGTATCATTTGTTTCGGTAAACAAAGAATTCTATGATGGTGGGAAATGAGCAGTGTTCGTTTCTCTGGTAAGTACTGGGGCTACCAAATGCTATAGTCTTAGGCATGCGTCGCGACGTGGTTAACAAAGGACCGAAATCGGAAACAAGACCACAGGAGTTATTTGACTCTGAAGAACGTCGATGACGATGAGTTGGTATACAAGTGCAAGCACTTTGCTGGTAACTGTATGAACAAGCGAGTGAGAAAATGCCAAAACGCCGGTGGCCAATCTGGGTTGTGATCCGCTCGTGGGGTCTGGAGACCAAGTTCAGAATGCAGTGCTCATAGCTCTATATTGCGCTGCCACGGGAAACGTGTTTGTGTGGTTACTCCGTTTGTAAATCGTGATGGTTTGATTGTTCAGAGAACACCTCTAGTGGATGGGAATAAAGGAAACTGAAGTATGCTTCTAGCCCACACGGGGCCATGTGAACGAAACGCCAACGGGCCTTGTCTGTAGCCTCTCCATGTTGCCTTTTGGAGCAGATGATCATGAAGGAGAGACTCACTAGTTCGTAACTGGTCCAGCGCTCGTTAAACCCCATGACTACATAAAATATCTATGGAAGTGCATCTGAGTCGCAAACAAAAATAGGAAGACCACCAGACTTTGCGAGTTAAGATATTTAGTGAGCCATTGGTCCTAGTTATGTGTTTCTGTTTCGAAACCGTTGGGGCGATCGAAGGCAACGAAGAGGTAAGCAAAACATAGACAGCAAATGATACTAGTGGCGCTGGTGTGTTCACACATTAAGCACTCACCTCCTTCCCATGCCACCGACTTGTGGGAAAACGCTTGTACCAAGCAACGACCATCAGCGAAACAAGCAATTCCCAATCGGTGAGGATATTTGAGCCAGGTTTCTATGAAAAACAAAGCCAGTTGTAGAGGGGATGCGGTTGAAATACAATGCAGAGAAAAAGGCGAACTGCGAATAGATCGAATGCCGCTGTTGATAGGCGCATATGTTGCCTGGTAGGAGTTGTTCAAAGTAATTGGCAAGCACAGACTTGCACAACACTTCCGACCGAGTGCAATGGGATTAAACAGGTGGTCTGTGACCTTAAATATACGAAGCAGCTATGATAGAGCTTGTGGTGAAATGACTGTTAGATAATGAGTCACCGAAACCTGAGGTTACAGGTTATCCTGATGGAAAGCAGTCTAGCATGTATATCGTAATAATAGAAATGCATTCATCAAAAAATATTTAATATCTCAATATACACTATTCACAATGTCTGAAGACCTTGTCTCTGCCGTTCGCAACAAATGTGCTAGTATTTTTGATGAAAGAGGAAGGAGTGAGGTAGTCTGTTAAAATGCTCTCGATTTACAAATACTTTCCGCTCTGAAAACGGGATCCTCAGTGAACCGCACCAACCTCACTGGAATACAGTGTTCCCACATTCGATAATCAATGAGGATGTAACATGGAGAATGATAAGTAGTAAGAGCAACAGTGAGACAAATAGTGCGCGCTGAGGCCTGCAGCGAAATGTCAATCAGATGACTAGCAACCAAGCGGAGGATAGTAGCAGACGAATAGGCTTCAAGTGCATATTTGGGAGAATGTCCAAGATCAGAAACGGGACGAAGTCAAGGCAAACGCTCTCGGCTTATTCAGCCTACAACCATTCAAATTTACCACATGACTGAAGTAACGCATCCGTTTTCCAAATGGAAACGGAACGATAAATGCGGTGCGGATAGATCAGCATATAAACTACCATACCAATGAACCCGAGTTTCTGTGAGTTCCTAGCTGGAGTATCATGGAACCGGAATCGTCAAGCAATTCATCCCTGCGATGCGAAATCCAGTGTGAATGCACAGTGATCAATAAATAAATCAGTTGTAGCAAAAGTAGCCTGCAAGTCGCTATGAAATAACACGTAGACACCATTAGGAGGAATCTAAGATTTCAGCTCGCAGTTTGTTGACACAATGCCTTGACTAGAACTACCGTACGGTTCGCAGACACTTTCGAATCGATCCACTGGGGAGTTCCAAATGGTGCAACGAAAGCTTTGATGTAGAATTGGGCTAATGCACTTTGACTCAGAGGATGGGAGAGCAGCTGAGAAGTCGATTTGCTCGACTACAATCTAATTGTTCAGCTCGGTGAACAAACAGACATCTAAGCACCTAAGATGAACTATCATTATCTGACTTATTGAAATGATATGAGCTACTGAACAGTGTTATCTAAAGTGCTCAAACATTCACCAAAAGCTGCTTCGTTTCCCATCACCGCAACGGGGACGCATTCCAAACGGGGTCACCAGGAATAGCCTAATAGTCAATATGATCACATCACGCATGTGTGGTGTGTAAATCCTTCCCAGCAAAACAAACACATGTCCAATAACATGGACGATTTACCGAAACGCAGATAGTAACAGGGACTTCCGCATTTGAATTTGATCGAACTCCAAGATACTCAGGCATACATTGTGCAGACATAAAACATATCAGGGCAAGGGAAACGATGGACATTGCTGCTACTGATCAGATTACCATACAGTGATGTTGATTCCAGTCTAAGCCGTTGCTCTCCGTCAAGTAACTTATGTGGTATACGCTGAAAAATGCTTGTACAGTGCATAGACTGATCTGAGTTGGTGAAATTCCACCAGTGGCAACATTGCCATGTTTTAGAGGCCGACTATACATGATGGATGTCGAGTTCAGTGGTGTAATTGGCATGCGCAAAATACGAAGGTTGTGATGTGGATAACTGCCCAAGTAAAGTAAAACGTATGCCACAAGCTTTCCCATGCTTTCACTGCGGGCGACAAACAGGAAATTCTGTGAGAGTAAGGAGAACCGACTTGTGCATGAAAAGCACATCGAAGCCAGGCTGACGAGTGTGACATAGGAAGAAAAGTTCGAATAGCCGCATCCAATCTATGGGGATGCATGCGCAAAGACGCCGATTAAAGTGTTGACATGCAGCCAGAACACCCATCGTGTGGGATGAAGACAACCGAGTTGGAAGAGGGAGGAATCAGCAGGATCCTGCTGCCGCGCGGCCACTAGCAGTCGCATGAAGACTACGGAAATCGCGAAGTCAACGCAGGGTCAAACCGGCGACCAGTGGATTACAAGCTAGATACCTGAGCTACTTGGCCACCGGTTAACGAAGCACAACTAGTACCGTCTACCCCTAACCGAAGAATTCATAACTCCTGACCGACGGATTCCTCCCTTTATCATCGTTTCAAGTGGTTACTTAAGCGGAATCACAGAACTTGAGCGTGTTTCATGCGAAGAAGATAAACTGGCAATGTTACAGCACAAACACCTGTGTTTGAAACATTCCCAAGATAGAAACACGGTGCAGCAGACAATAGAGTTTTCTCCTAGATTTATATTCTCAAAGAGCACACAAGACCGACTGGGCCATGAACAGTTATGCTATAAGGTGTCTGAAAATGAAAGGTAAAGAACAAAGTTTTGCAACCAAGGAGGACTTACACTGGATATGTGTTACAGAGTTTACAAGATAGGTATCTGGGGCATGTAGAAAGATGAACGCGTTGAAACAAAAGTGTATGGAATGCAACGTTAATGTGACTTAACAATGCGCAGTTCAGGTTTCAGATCAACTTAGGCCGGTGCGTACAGGCTGCACTGCGTTTAATCAACGAGATCTGATCGCGACCACCGCATATTTCATAAGTGACCGTCCTAAAGGAAGTATTCTGATGGGTAATGCAGTCTAAAGAACAGTTAATCGTAGGTACGTGATATTCGCTCTTATCATGAGAAGTTGACGGCTAAATGGATTGCGCACAGTTTAAGGATGCACACGACCTAACGGATGAGGTTTGTTGGGCTGACGAATAACGAAGCAAGACCATAGAAAATTATAGAACATAGTCCCTACCCAAGAAATAGAGCGTTTGCCTCCGTAAATCATAATTCTTGTTAAGTGAGAACAATCGACAGCGAAGTAAGCGGGGTTGGAGGTTATGAATGTAGAGTTCCATCGCTATTGAATAATCACTGGATTTGGATAACAGTTGGCTGACATCATGATCTATACCAGAGTGAGTAACTTCGGCAAGTGGGTGGCCACCGTCGAAACCGTAAAAGCTGATAGGCCAGACAGGGTACAAGCCACACTAGAAACTAAGTTGCCTGAGGGACAGTGTGTCAAGCTTAATGCAAGGTACCGAAATCATAAGACAGAATAAACGCAGAGTAGCTCACTCAGGAGAAAATTAGGAGTAAGAAACCAATCCCCTACCATGATGGTGCTGTTGCTGCCACCTAAATGCGAGCTTCATTAATTATGGTCCGTGCATAACAGGGCGAACGCAGGTCAGTGTAATATCTACTTGGGCCCGAGTATATATGAAGGAATGATCGGTTACATGTTAGACGTTGCCCGCTAGCAACACTGTACTCTATGGTTAGTTTTTGTTGCCGTTTGCACTCGTCATGTGCACATAACAGGATTCGATTTGAGCCCAAAACAACACTATCGATCTGCGGGCTACACAATTATCACAATGGTCCACTGACTCATTAAGTTTATTTTGAAACACTCGTTACGTGGATAGATTGCGGTGTACAACACTACTCTGGTAAGTGACTTGTTTTGAAGTCAACGTGACCCGCGTGGTCAGCGTTATCCGCGGTCGGTGTGATAAGGCATCAAGCTGGTAGTATTTGCGTTTCGGGTTCAAGCTGCAGTTCGAATACCACTACTTGAAAAGAGCAAAACGAGTACAGTGCTCTATGAACGAGCTACAATCTTTTACAGTTATCTGTTTCAAACACGACCCCAGTGACTAAATCGACCGAGATTTGCTGCTGGATGAATCGCGATCCAAACTGAAGTAACTCGTTGCAATCCACGCAAGGAGTGCTCCAAAATGATTCTCTAATGAGCCCAGGTTAACTCAAGCCACCAAAAGCGGACAGTAATATCTACTGCCGTGTGCGGTTCCAAGTTAATTTAACTGATGAGTCGGTGGAAGCAGGCAACATTGCGCCATAGTACACTAAAGGCCATTTCAACAGAAAACGACGCTCAAAAAGAGAGTGAAAATATTATAAAAATACACCCGGTACGAAACGTACGGAACAGGTAGATGTAGACATCAGGACACTTAATCGGTGCAGCACAGTAAGTGCCCAACGTACCTCTTTTGCTTGATGAATTGTTCTCAATTTCCAATTTAACATCTGGCCATTCTATACAGCTGTTTCCGCGCCGATGGTTGTGAACGAACAGACCATCTGTCCCCTTGGACTTCAACCATGCTACAAACGTCGGCCTACTTCGCCCGGTGCAAGTTTGAATCTGCCCTCCAGTGTCACAGGGCCAATGAGACAAATCATAGCGCTTTGTCGCAACCAAGCCATGATCCAAGGTACTAAATGTGTAATGTGGAAGCACTGTCAGCTGTGAGGCTACAAAGAAAAACGAAGGCAATAATCACGAAAAGTTAGAGTGGTGTTAATCAGGGAGAAGAAAAATTGGTTAGAAACACACCCCACAACGCGGTTTGCAACATTCATCCGTTAAATGAGGGATAAACTCCCTTCGTATGTGGTAAGAAGCACTTGATAGAGAAAATACGACTGATCACTTGACATGAACAATGGAACAACGCAAAAATGATATAATACGGATAAAAAGACCAAGGTTTGCCAGGTTCCGTGCGATGTTTTGTATGAAGTACAGTAGTTCAGAAGAAGTGGCACTAAAGTGAAATGAGCATCTATGGACGCACCATAATATCCACGAGCACATGGGCTTCGAAGGACAACGCTGCGGAGGGTGATGACCGGGGGATATACAGCATAATGAACATTGAAGAAGCAGACACATACTAAACCATCAATTGGGGTGAGGCATGAAAAATGTGCACGGGTTCGTTTTACACTTCCCCAAATAATGTACAATCAATTCCACAGTGGGCACGTATTAAATGGAGAGAAACTTGGATTGAATGTAGGTGCCGCCTAGAATGAGTAGGTGAAAATGCACAAGAATCTGAGAAACCAATTCCCATGAGTCACCCAGATCTAGACACAATGTCTTGCCATGTTGCACTTTGGTCAAGCATAGCGTCATCAGCGTCAAATACTTACGACTGGCGCTCGTGAAAGCCAGATTCGTGAAGAGCAAGCCGGGTTTCGTCGGGGTCGTGCCTGCATCGACCACAACTTCACCTTGCGTCAGTTGTTGGAGCAACGTCACACATATTGGCGGCCCCTCATTGTCGTGTTTCTCGATATCAATTCGATTCGGTTGATCAATGTGCCCTTTGGAATTGTCTACTCAGGAAAGATGTGCCAGAGAAATATGTAAATATTACCCGAGCATTATACGCGCGCAGCACAGGCAAAGTGAGGGCTTACGGCAAGCTGTCGTCACCCTTCAATATCTCCAGCGGTGTGAGACAAGGATGCCCGTTGTCACCTTTCCTCTTCAACCTCGCTATTGACGAAGTCATGGAGATTGCATTTACAGGACATTACTTGGAAGGTGTGGAGCTACTCCCAGGAGAACGACTTCTTGACTTGGAGTATGCAGGCGATATTGCCCTCATCTGTGACAGCTCCCAGACGTGCCAAGCCGCGCTGGACAGATTAGCACTGGCTGTCAGCCGCTTCCGGCTTTGCTTCGCACCATCAAAGTGCAAAGCGTTCCTCCAAGATTGACCTGGACCGCCTCCTGCGCTGACCCTTGGTGGGGATCAGCTTAAAGTCGTTCGGAAATTCAACTACCTGGGAAGTTGTATCAGCGCCCTTGGGATCGAAGACGAGATCATAAACCGTATAGCAAAAGCTCGAAGTGCTTTTGCTAATCTTCGCCACCTATGGCGGCGGCGCGACCTTACTCTCGCCCTGAAGGGTAGAGTGTACAATGCAGTGGTACGTTCGACCCTACTGTACGGTTGCGAAACCTGGCCCCTAAGATCGGCGGATATGAAGAGGCTAGTTACGTTCGACCATCGGTGCCTTCGCAGTTTGGCTCACATCTGATGGGAACACCGCGTGAGTAACGAGCGTGTTCGACGCCTTGTTTACGGCACAGGAAAAGGAACTGACCCGCTCAGCACCGTCATTTCACACACCAGGCTCCGATGGCTGGGCCACGTGTTACGCATGCCAGCCCATTGACTTCCGCGACGCGCGTTTGCTCACCGGGGGTGTGGATGGAAGAAGAGGAGAGATGATTAAGCGATGACTTGGTCCAGAGGAATGAAGGCCCTCGCTTTGGAGCTGGCCTTGGTTGGAGCGTCACGGCTCCCCGGTTAGGGTCCGAGAGACGATGAACACGTTTGGCTAGATACACTTGCTGACATGGCAAGGAGCCGATCTCAGTGGCGTTCCTGCTGTGAGTTTCTTTGTCCGTCCCCATCCCTTTTAGCCTCCCCCTCCATCTGCGATCTCATTTCTTAGCGTAAAACATAATAATTTTACTTTGTGACTAGTAGCCGGCTGGTAGCTTACCGGAACGATGCCTATCCGTTGAGGGTAGCTCAGCTGGCATGCAACTGTTGTGTTTATTTTTCTTTTCCTTTATGTATTGCGGCATAGTAGCTAAGGTGTTTCCCACCTCTAAATGACATGTATAATGATTATGCTGAGTACTATGTGATGACTGTTTGTTAAGTTATCAAAGCGGTGGCAACCATAGACATGCCAGCATTCACAAGAACTTAGCGACATCCGGGCAACAGGGACACCCACATGCCAAATGTTCACAAAAAATACGAGCAAAATATGATTAAATAACCGGCGGCTTAGCGTTATTCCTGGTCAACAGCTCACAACTTGAGTCTTTTGGAATCCGCTAGGTGAATGGAACTTTGATGTGTCCTAATTCAGATATAGCGAGTTATACAAGACCCAAAATGAACCCGCTACTACACTGGCAAGTGTTATTCGCGAAACGAAATGTCCTAATAGCGCATGCGTTCGAGGCCACCTCCTAATGAGGAAAACAACCAACATTTTGATACCCGCAATTGTTAGCCTCAAGAGACTATTCTCGCCTGCGGCGCAAGAATACAGAAAAGTGCTACACTGAGCACTGCGAGAAAAAGGTAAGGATATAACTAATAATTGTTGACGAATTTTTTCTAATCTGCGACCATTGTAACCTTAATTTAGTTATGAACGAAGTCTTCTCCGTATTTCTAACCAATTCCATTTCCTGTCCGGGGGTATCAACAAAAAACTACAGAATGCTTCATGAGATCCGTCAATGTCAATTTCTACACACTTCGGCTGCCAGTGATGCATCGATCCGGAAGCTCTTTCCTTGTGACAATTTGAACAGAAACTGTGCTCAACCATCCATTAACAAAATTCGATCAGATTAAACTTAATCCGTAGCACACACCATCGAGATATAAACTGCTTTTTCGTCAAATTTTTATTCTTTAGATTCGTTTTATAATATTGAATATTTCTTTTACTTTCCCGAGAGCAACAGCCCAGAGGCAGATAGCAATTATCAGTGCTCTGCGATACGAAATATTGTGTTTGGTGAATATAGGCAACTGCCAGAGAAAACTGAAGATTCCTTTCAGAAAAGTCTCGGATATCGATAATCCGAGAAGCCACCTATTACGGCGATCCCACCGCATAATTTGATGGGGAAATCTGCCGGCCTTCTTGGCAGTATTTAAATACAACAATTGCTTATTTATCATCAGTGCCGTAATTACCTTTCTACCTCTTCATATTCTATATTCTTCTTTAATCCATTGTTGGCCCCGACTGGGTCGATTTCCTGAGGTGACGGATTGTAGCTTTCAAACTAATAGATGGACCCATGCGAGGCAAGATGCCATGGACTCCCTGACAAGTAATAAAAGTGCTTGACTCAAAATACCGATTGATGGTACGGGTTATATGGTCTAAAGGTCCATATATATACACACACTTAAAAACAGCCCTAAAGTTGAGTACAATTGGTGATGGCAAACCCGCTTTAAAGTCACACCAACATACGGCCAGAACAGACGGGGAAGCAGGTTCCCTGGAGACAAATTCACGGTTGGCCGTATTATTTTATTAGAACATATAGATTCATCTGCATTTATTAGTATTATTGACCAATTCATCTGAAAGATGCAACCGATCAATCGGCCCCGCAACATAGTTTAGGAACTGCTCTGAAAAAAGAACTCGAAGAAATATTTTATCCGTCCTATGCGATCCCGTTGTGCATAATAACCAGAGCAATTAGTTGGATTGTGCATCGCACCGTTTGGGAATATACCCTTTAGTTATTTATTTATTTGCAGTGCAGCGCTACGATAATCAAGCTATTGCTGTTAACCGGAGAACACCTTCGCTATCACAAAAATGACCGGTGTTTGTGTTCAGTTTGTAGAATCGTTTCTTTAAATGTCAATGAAATTCATGGTTAATTATTCATTTGTTCATGTCACAACACAACTAAAGGTCAGCGCAGCTTTATTCAGGGCGATTCAATATCCATGAGAGGAAGCAACGAGCAGGCCCCATGTGGGCAATTTGTCATCTATGAGGCTGCGAAACGAACCGCAGAAACGTTTTACTCTCGGACCTATTCAACAGCTTAGTTCATAATGGTGGCAAACCAATCGAAGGTCTGTAGGAGACCAATCAATCTTCTAGGAACTTTTATTTCCTTTGATGAGTGATATCGGTTAGAAAATTGAACCGATAAAGCTGTTGCCTTCAGTAAGTGAACAGAAAAAGTTAACATTTAAATAAAAGTCAGGTAGAGCAACAGATTACGGGAAATAGACAAGAGAAAATATGGCTTCTGGATCAAGAGAGTCAGGAGCGCAATGGTTAACTGACAGCGCTGCCTGAATGCGCCTCCCACAGACTACAGTGGTTGTTTCGGCGACTTTCAGTCAAAAAGAGGATACATACAAAGGTAATATGAGGCATGTTGTTTACGCTTGCTCAAAATATATTCACCTGATCACATCAAGAAGTAGTTATGCTTGATAATCTCCACGTAACCAAAAAGCCAGACAAATAGGACAACAGTTTCGCCTCACTGGAGCAAGCTGTCAAAACTGATACAGCCACTGTTCATCCAGTGGACATGTACAGTACAAATCGTATACTTTTTCAAATTTGTGTACAAATGAGTCAAAGAGTCACTAAGATGGATAGCAACTAGTCTCGAGGGTAGTTAATTAAGTGAATGATTAAGCAATACTGAAACGTAGAAGAGATCGCACTCAAACAACAGTATCTCGCGCAAGAGACGGACTCAAAAAGCCTCCAAGTTAAGCGGCAAAATGCAGCATGGCTAACTCACTGTTCTGCACTGATGGAACGAGTAAATAGTATCGATACCGAGTATTCTGTCCTGACTTGGAAATACAGCAGATAAGGGCTGCGGCTACAGGAGAATCTGGATGATGCGATTTGAACAATACTTCAGGCCATATTTCCAAAGTAGTACCTCGAATAAATAACTGAAGAGACAAAAGAGATGGGAATGGGGGTTCACTGAGCTTCACTGACGACACTTCATCCCATTGCACCATATAAGCAACTTTTAATTGTGTCAATCGAGGGCGTGACCAGTGTCTACTAGGTAGTGTTATAGACGTTAAACAGCGTAGCCAATAGGTAACGACTTTGGTCAGGTCAGGCAGGCGCACGATGCCAATCTAACGTTCCTTCTCTAATTGAACAACATTTTTTGATGGCAGACTAGCGAAGCTCACTCACGAAAGGTGGTACACCCACCATAATGAGTTCGTGAAGTGGTAGTGTGCTCCAAGTGGAACGGTGTGGAAGGCTATACCGCACATATGGTCGCAAATGGGTTTAATGGAGGCTAGACAGGGCACGTTGTGGCTGGCCTCATGAGCCCCTCAGAATGAGCACTGTAATGTGAGCAGTGTTGAAGTAAAGGCACTTTAGTAATATTGCATTTTAGGAACCTGGACATTTTCGGCACCATCAATTAAACTTCAGTGCTGCTAAATGCCGACTAAACAGGGCACTGTGAGGATCGTCCTCTTCTGCGGTCGCTCGACTTGGCCTCTTCTGGCATAAATTCTAGAACTTCTTGAAGCGTTTGGTCATGATATCCTTCTTGTCGGAATGCATCAGCATATCCGCAAAAGTGATGCGCGCAGACCAGTACTAAGTGCAGATTCTAATGTTAACCTGATATACGTATTAACATACAAGACGATAAATTAGGCTAGTTCGGGTAGCAAGAACAGCGGCAATGCAGCGGCATATTGTACTGGTGATTCTCTGCCACATTGCTCCAAAGGCCCCGATAAATTAGAAATGATAATTATAAGAGGGACAAACAGAATCTGAGGAGTGGACTAAGCACAGCAAGCAAGCGTTCGAGATTAAGGCGTCTACATCTTGGCAACAATGTACATTCATAAACATCTGATTATCGTGACAAAATAAGGTCGCATCGGTGAAGCAGCTTCCTTGCGGCTTTCGCTGTCACTATAGACAGTATCAGACACACTTCAAAAAGGTAGATCGACCAAAAGAAGGTAACCAACGAGTCACTAATGCGGGTTACGAACCATATCTATTATCGGCTAAACGTAAGAATAGGGTGGATCGAATGGACTCCAACGAGGAAGACGATATAGACGAACAGCACCGTTTGATGATCACTGTCCTATTATCCCACAGCCAACGGAAATTATATCACACTCGAGTTTCGCATCATTTTTATCCGGGTGCCAAGACAAGGACATCCTCAGCAGGTAGGCATTCAGGCTCCGGTTGCAGTTGCACGGTGAGAAAAAACTATGCCACCTACAATTAACGTTTTCGTATCAGTTGAATAAATGTTTGTTGCCCAAGACAGCTTCCCTGTAAAGTACCATCATTATCATCAGCAACCGCAGTATATCAGCCATTTGAACTGATGCTTCACTGCCATACAACCATAACAACTTACGGAACGAAGAATAATAAGGAAGAGAAGGAGGAATTACCGGAAAATCTTAATGCCCCAAGCAAATATTCAAGGTCAAGACGGCTAAAGTGAAGTAAATCGCCAGCTGTATGCCGTAACGGCGCTTCGCTGCCACTCGACCACTACCAGTCGCGCGTGGGCTGAACATACCGTGAGAAAGCCCGCCAGTACGTGGATTCGAACCGGTGATCTTATGTTTGCAAACCACGCACGCAGACCACTCGGCCAACGGCCGATATCAAGGCAACTGCACCTTGGCAACAACAAACCCTTAGACAGATGGCTATCGTGCAAAGATAAGGCGACATTGGCGAGACAGCTTCTTTGCGGCTTTCACTTCCCCGCGTCATAATCAGCCATTACCCCGCAGATAATTCAGCACCAAACACACGTTATACAGGCAGTCCGACTACGGATAGAACACTAAACCATTACTAGATTCAAGGTACGTGTTCCAAAACAAGCAACAGTCATGAACAAAACAACGTTACTCGATGCCTTCTGAATGCGTGTTCAAGTACCTTGCAACTAAAAAGACATCTGAACTGGAAGCATCAAGATTGTAATAAAGTTGAAGTACACGATAAAACACGAATGAATAGCGTCTAGCTCTGTTCCATTAGCTAACCTTAGTTAACATTCACAAATGGGCTACACGAGGTGATTGTTAACAAAGAGGTAGTTCTGAAGCTGAAGGTCATATCCGGATTCTCAGAATGCGGGTTGCCGATAGCCCAAACAGAAGGTAGATACGTTTGGTTCAATAAGCAAATTGGGGCAGTGGATTTCGATTTTGTAAACGCAGCATACAACCCTGCCAAGGGCGTCCAAGGTGCAATCATGGCCTGTTGGGTCAGTTGTTTTGGGTGCGGCGAATGTTGAACGTAACTAATGAAACTGGAAAGTTTAGCCTGGCAAAGGTGTTTCGATGCGAGTGAAATCGGGATGCCGTGGTGTAAGGGTCTCGGTTGTACAACAGTTGTCGTCAACTATTCCACGGAATATAACAAGATGGTCACCAGTTAGGCTATGGAGGAGTGCAAATGAAGCAGAAAAAAGAGGTAAGAGGCAATTTGTTCGACACAATAGACAAGCTGACCCACTTCGAAATGAACGGTGATCTATGAAGAGTGAGGCCAAACTTTGGGGCACTAGTCTTGGTATTACTCGGAAGTGGATAGTAGCAAGGCTCCCAAACCTTGGTGGGAGTAACCGGATATACAGCGTTATGCTGCTATGACCATGGTCTACAGAATAAAATACAGCCTATTAATTGTGCTATCGATGTGTGAGTCTTCTTCAACAGACCAAAATAGCAATCGGAAAACTGTGGTAAGATACGTAGTGTCAAATGGGAGGATAACAGCAGGTTGCAGAAAACGAGAACCATTGACCCCGTGGCGCGTCTTGTCTTATGTATTCATTAGCCTCCGGTGTGGATGATCATCTGGTCCTATTACAAGTAAAATGGAGTGCATAGTTCCAACAAGGTATCCGGGAAATTCTCCCAAGTCAGCAAGCCAGAGGCCGCACAAGCAATTGAAACATGTGGCGCTGGATGATAGGCATTTAACGTGGCCCAAGCAAAGCGAGCGGTTCAATTACAACAGATGATTCAGTGCATCCGCAGAAGTTGGGCTTTGGACATTAGCTGGTGGACCAAACTTTTGCGAATACGGTGCTCCTATTGGAGTAGATCACCACTAAGCAGGTTCTCAAAGGCGAATAATATCACTTGTTTCAAGTAATGGTCACTTTGTGCTATGTTTGGAAGCACTGAAAATAAAGAGCCGAGTTGCATACCCAGCTATTAACTAACGAACAAACGTCTCGCTGTTTTTATGGACGATTGTGGGGCTGTGACGCCACAAATGTCACGTAAACGTGTACAATGCTTTGATTAATACAGAAGATGCATCTCGTCAAGGCAGAGAGGACGTAGGTTGCGATATGGCAACATTTCGATTGTTCTCTTCAATCACAAACACAATACGAGCAGAAACACACAAATGATTATATACATGGGAAAACAAGCAACACAAGCATCGAAATGTTGACATATCGCAACCTATGTCTTCTCTCTGCCTTGACAAAGTGGTTGAAGGGGACCCACTATTTTACAGAAGATACAGCTAGACGGAAAAGTGAACTGACTCAGAATTCTGAGTACAGTCAATCCCGCTTTATTGCCTAGCCGGTTCATAGCTCACCTTGCTTTATTGGTCAGTTTTTCAAAATACAAATTCTTTTCTCATAAGTAGGCTAAATTTTCACTGTCTAATTGCTCATTACTGGAGTTGTCCCACCGGTTAATTGCCTAACAACGTGGGCTGTGCTCTTGTCGATTTGTCAATTTTATACCCTTTGACTCTCTTATTAAGATTGCCCCACAATTAGCCAGTCCGATCGAGTCAAGAACAACAAAAATGTCGGCGGCGTTATTGACAGATCAGAAAAGGTTACCTATGTCATTCAATACACGAGCAAGCTAAATGTACAGACGGCTGTGGGCAAAACCTCGGCCCTAACCAAAACTCGAGAACTGAGCAGTCAAGTAAACTTTCCGCTCCACATTTGGATTGGCTACACACATGTATGCCAAGTAACAGAAAGGATTTGTCCCTGATCGAAAAGTTAAACGTTTTGGACAAATTAAAACATATCCGCCAGGAACCTCGCAGGTAAAGATATCGCGTGATTTACACATTTCCCGTCCTACCCTAACCAGATTGACTACCAGTGAAAAGGAACTCCGGCAGAATTTGTCGCATGGCACTGCAAGCTCTCAGAAAACGAAGCGATGTGGAAAGGATGAAGAAGAAACTGCAGTGAAAGACTGGATGATCTCGGTTCGTGAGCACAACCAAACAGTTACAGGCCCGCTTCTGAAGAAAAAAGCAGAAGAATTCGGGGAAGGACTTGGAAAAACCTGTGTTTCCACAGAAGGACGATGCGAAGATGGAAGAATAGAACTCAAATTGCGTATAAACATGCACATGGCGAAGATTTCCGCGGACAGAGCAAGCTGTGAAAATTGGCTGAAACATCGACTGCCTAAACTACTAAATGCTTTTTTGATGACAACGTGTACAATGCAGACGAAACAGGATTTTTTTACCGAGGAACTCCAGAATGCTCTTTGTGTTTTGCTGCCGACAGGTCAAGCAGATCGAAAAAGCCATGGATAGAATGACTTTACTGTGTTGCGCGAATATGTCTGGCACGGATAAAAGAAATATAGCATTGAGTTGAAAAGTAAGAAACCACGATGTTTTAATGGCGTGAACGTACTTACACTTCCCGTAACTTACAGAGTTAACAAAAATGCGTGGATGTCGAAAGAACTTTTCACCGAGTGGGCGCTCGAATGGGACAAGGAGCTAGGCCAATGTGACCGAAAAGTTATGTTGCTCTTGGATAATTGCACAGCGCATCCACAGGTAGAAGGACTGAAAGACATTTCAATGGCATTTTTTGCAGGCAAACACGGCTCGCATTCTTCAACCCATGGACCAAAGTGTGATTGAATCTGAGAACGCGTTACAGAAAGGAAATTGTGGACAGAATTCCTTAGCACATCGA